GGAAGAAGATGCTTGTTCGGTCCTCTTACTGCAAATTTGGGGCACTGTGTGGTCAAGCTAATGTGACACCAGATAGTAGTGGTGTGTTTAGTACTATTTTTATCAGTTTAATACCTTCCGCGTCTCCTATCAGTGGACGTGTACATGGCAGTGATTTCTGTAACAGGGAGATGGAAGAAGATGCTTGGTCGGTCCTCTTACTTCAAATTTGGGGCACTGCACGGTCAAGCTAATGTGACACCAGATAGGAGTGGTGTGTTTAGTACTATTTTTATCAGTTTAATACCTTCAGCGTCTCCTATCAGTGGACGTGTACACGGCATTGATTTTTGTAACAGGGAGATGGAAGAAGATGCTTGGTCGGTCCTCCTAACTGGAGACTGTGTTGCTGTACGGGTGGCAGGTGGAGCCATTTATAAAGTACACACTGCTTTGCAGACCAGGTATCAGTGGTCAGATGGACCCTTGCCCCAACACTGTGTGCCAGACATACCATTACTTCCTTTTGCACAGTCGAGTACAGGTTGGGGATTGCCTTTTGCGCAAAGAAATTTTGGCCGGGTACCTTCCACTGCGGTGTCCCAATAGCTACAAATTTTTTGAACGCCTCAGACTCCACCAGATTGTATGGTAAAAGCTGGTGGGCTAATAGTTCAGACAAGCCAGGTGTCAGACGCCGGGCAAAAGGGGTGACTTTCTGACGCTTGCAGACAACTAACTGCTATTCAATCTATAACAGTGAAAAAAGTTTTGAAGCCACAGTGCAGCACCAGAGGGCCTAAAAATTAGGCATGTACACATGCCTGAAAAATTGATATTGTTGCAGCCGCTGCTGTAGCAGCGGCCAGAAAAAATGATGTTTGTTTCACAGGCAGAAAGTGCCCTAAAACATGGCGGCTTGAACCCTAGTTGGTGGTGGATAAGTCACGCAAGTCAACCGGCATTCAGAGCTAAAATACAGCAGCGTGTGGACCATTTTTAGCCCAAGGCAGCTCATCTCATCAGGCCTTTTTTACATAGGGTCACTTGGCAGATATGGATTGACACCTGTCCTAGGGATCCCTGATACACACTGACACAGAGCAGAATAGGGACTGTAACTCCTACATAGGGTCACTTGGCAGATATGGATTGACACATGTCCTAAGGATCCCTGATACACACTGACACAGAGCAGAATAGGGACTGTTCCTCCTACATAGGGTCACTTGGCAGATATGGATTGACACCTGTCCTCAGAGCCCCTGATACACACTGACACAGATCAGAATAGGGACTGTTCCCCCTACATAGGGTCACTTGGCAGATATGGATTGACACCTGTCCTAGGGATCCCTGATACACACTGACACAGAGCAGGATAGGGACTGTTCCTCCTACATCGGGTCACTTGGCAGATATGGATTGACACATGTCCTAAGGATCCCTGACACACACTGACACAGAGCAGAATAGGGACTGTTCCTCCTACATAGGGTCACTTGGCAGATATGGATTGACACCTGTCCTAGGGATCCCTGATACACACTGACACAGAGCAGAATAGGGACTGTTCCTCCTACATAGGGTCACATGGCAGATATGGATTGACACCTGTCCTCAGAACCCCTGATACACACTGACACAGATCAGAATAGGGAATGTTACCCCAACATAGGGTCACTTGGCAGATATGGATTGACACCTGTCCTAAGGTTCCCTGATACACACTGACACAGAGCAGAATAGGGACTGTTCCTCCTACATCGGGTCACTTGGCAGATATGGATTGACACATGTCCTAAGGATCCCTGATACACACTGACACAGAGCAGAATAGGGACTGTTCCTCCTACATGGGGTCACTTGGCAGATATGGATTGACACATGTCCTAAGGATCCCTGATACACACTGACACAGAGCAGAATAGGGACTGTTCCTCCTACATAGGGTCACTTGGCAGATATGGATTGACACCTGTCCTCAGAGACCATGATACACACTGACACAGAGCAGAATAGAGACTGTTCCCCCTACATCGGGTCACTTAGCAGATATGGATTGACACCTGTCCTAGGGATCCCTGATACACACGACACAGAGCAGAATAGAGACTGTTCCCCTACATAGGGTCACTTGGCAGATATGGATTGACACCTGTCCTCAGAGACCATGATACACACTGACACAGAGCAGAATAGAGACTGTTCCCCCTACATAGGGTCACTTGGCAGATATGGATTGACACTGTCCACGAGGACAAGCTGCAGGCTTCCTGGCAGGGCCCATACAAGGTGGTAGAGCAGGTTTGTGATACCACCTTTGTGATCGGTGCGGTCACAGGCACGGGAGGCAAGCGCATGCTCCATGTGAACAACCTCAGACACCTATCCTATGCCCCGGATAGACGAGCTCCTAGACAAAATGGCCAGAGGCCAGTACCTCACCACAATAGATCTGTGCAAGGGGTACTGGCAAATTCCAATAGCCGAGGACGCCATCCACAAGTCGGCATTTGTCACCTTGTTTGGCCTGTATCAGTTTAAGGTCATGCCATTCGGGATGAAGAATGCCCGGCTAACTTTCAGAGGATGATAGATCGGCTACTGGATGGGTTTCAGGAGTATGCCTGTGCCTACTTGGATGATATAGCCATTTTTAGCTGCTCCTGGCCCGAACACCTGACCCACATAGGAGCCGTACTAGACCGGATTAGGGAGTCCGGACTGACCCTAAAGCCCAGTAAGTACCATATAGGAACGTGTAAAAACCTCCCCAAGATAGTAGTATGGGCCCCAGAGTGTGAACAGGCCTTCCAACAGCTCAAGACGGCGCTCATTAAATCACCTGTACTTTCTTCTCCTGATCCAACTAAACACTTTCTAGTCCATACAGACGCTTCTATGCTTGGATTGGGAGCAGTACTGAGCCAAGTCGGAGCAGATGGTGGCGAGCAACCCGGGGCTTATCTAAGCCGTAAACTTTTGCCCAGGGAAGTAGATACACTGCCATTGAAAAGGAGTGCCTGGCGGTGGTGTGGGCCCTCAAAAAGCTGCAACCTTACTTGCATGGACAACCGTTTACCTTACTCACAGATCACAACAAATTTGGGGCACTGCCATTGAAAAGGAGTGCGTGGCGGTGGTGTGGGCCCTCAAAAAGCTGCAACCTTACTTGTATGGACAACTGTTTACCTTACTCACAGATCACAACAAATTTGGGGCACTGCACGTGCAATCTAATGTGCCACCAGATAGGAGTGGTGTGTTTAGTACTATTTTTATCAGTTTAATCCCTGTTACGTCCCCTATCCGTTGATGTGGAGCAAGACGCAGCAGCAGAAGAGGACTCAGCCAAGGAGGTTATGGAAGAGGATGGAGTAGGAGGAGTAGAGGAGGTGGCAGCAGGCCTGCCTGCAAGTCGCGGCGGTGTCACCAACTCCTCTGCAGAGCCACGCATTCCATGCTTGGCAGCCGTCAGCAGGTTTGCCCAATGCGCAGTGTAGGTGATATACCAGCCCTGACCATGCTTTACAGACCAGGTATCAGTGGTCAGATGGACCCTTGCCCCAACACTGTGTGCCAGACATGCCATTATTTCCATTTGCACAATCGAGCACAGGTTGGGGATTGCCTTTTGTGAAAATAAATTTCGTCCGGGTACCAGTGAGTGAGTGGTGGCACTGGGCACAGTATCCACTGTGAGCTAAACACACCCGCTTTAAGGACACTGACTGCTATTCAATCTATAACAGTGAAAAAAGTTTGTTTTTTTAAATGCAAGCTATTGTGACACCAGATATGAGTGGTGGCACTGGGCACCGTATCCACTGTGAGCTAAACACACCCGCTTTAACCCCTTAAGGACCAAACTTTTGGAATAAAAGGGAATCATGACATGTCACACATGTCATGTGTCCTTAAGGGGTTAAGGACACTGACTGCTATTCAATCTATAACAGTGAAAAAAGTTTTTTGTTTTTAAATGCAAGCTATTGTGACACCAGTTAGTGGTGGCACTGGGCACCATATCCACTGTGAGCTTAACACACCCGCTTTAAGGACACTGACTGCTATTCAATCTATAACAGTGAAAAAAGTTTTTTGTTTTTAAATGCAAGCTATTGTGACACCAGTGAGTAGTGGCACTGGGCACCGTATCCACTGTGAGCTTAACACACCCGCTTTAAGGACACTGACTGCTATTCAATCAATAACAGTGAAAAAAGTTTTTTGTTTTTAAATGCAAGCTATTGTGACACCAGATATGAGTGGTGGCACTGGGCACCGTATCCACTGTGAGCTTAACACACCCGCTTTAAGGACACTGACTGCTATTCAATCTATAACGGTGAAAAAAGTTTTTTGTTTTTAAATGCAAGCTATTGTGACACCAGTGAGTGAGTGGTGGCACTGGGCACTGTATCCACTGTGAGCCTGACACACCCGCTTTAAGGACACTGACTGCTATTCAATCTATAACAGTGAAAAAAGTTTTTTGTTTTTAAATGCAAGCTATTGTGACACCAGTGAGTGAGTGGTGGCACTTGGCACAGTATCCACTGTGAGCCTTACACACCCGCTTTAAGGACACTGACTGCTATTCAATCTATAACAGTGAAAAAAGTTTTTTGTTTTTAAATGCAAGCTATTGTGACACCAGTGGGTGGTGGCACTGGGCACCGTATCCACTGTGAGCTTAACACACCCGCTTTAAGGACACTGACTGCTATTCAATCTATAACAGTGAAAAAAGTTTTTTGTTTTTAAATGCAAGCTATTGTGACACCAGTGAGTGGTGGCACTGGGCACCGTATCCACTGTGAGCTTAACACACCAGCTTTAAGGACACTGACTGCTATTCAATCAATAACAGTGAAAAAAGTTTTTTGTTTTTAAATGCAAGCTATTGTGACACCAGTGAGTGGTGGCACTTGGCACCGTATCCACTGTTAGCGTAACACACCCGCTTTAAGGACATTGACTGCTATTCAATCTATAACAGTGAAAAAAGTTTTTTGTTTTTAAATGCAAGCTATTGTGACACCAGATATGAGTGGTGGCACTGGGCACCGTATCCACTGTGAGCTTAACACACCGGCTTTAAGGACACTGACTGCTATTCAATCTATAACAGTGAAAAAAGTTTTTTGTTTTTAAATGCAAGCTATTGTGACACCAGTGAGTGGTGGCACTGGGCACCGTATCCACTGTGAGCTTAACACACCCGCTTTAAGGACACTGACTGCTATTCAATCTATAACAGTGAAAAAAGTTTTTGTTTTTAAATGCAAGCTATTGTGACACTAGATATGAGTGGTGGCACTGGGCACCGTATCCACTGTGAGCTTAACACACCCGCTTTAAGGACACTGACTGCTATTCAATCTATAACAGTGAAAAAAGTTTTTTTTTTTAAATGCAAGCTATTGTGACACCAGATATGAGTGGTGGCACTGGGCACTGTATCCACTGTGAGCTTAACACACCCACTTTAAGGACACTGACTGCTATTCAATCTATAACAGTGAAAAAAGTTTTTTTTTTTAAATGTAAGCTATTGTGACACCAGTATGTGGTGGCACTGGGCACCGTATCCACTGTGAGCTTAACACACCCGCTTTAAGGACACTGACTGCTATTCAATCTATAACAGTGAAAAAAGTTTTTTTTTTTAAATGCAAGCTATTTTGACACCAGTGAGTGGTGGCACTGGGCACCGTATCCACTGTGAGCTTAACACACCCCCTTTAAGGACACTGACTGCTATTCAATCTATAACAGTGAAAAAAGGTTTTTTTTTTAAATGCAAGCTATTGTCACACCAGTGAGTGGTGGCACTGGGCACCGTATCCACTGTGAGCTTAACACACCCGCTTTAAGGACACTGACTGCTATTCAATCTATAACAGTGAAAAAAGTTTTTTTTTTAAATGCAAGCTATTGTCACACCAGTGAGTGGTGGCACTGGGCACCGTATCCACTGTGAGCTTAACACACCCGCTTTAAGGACACTGACTGCTATTCAATCTATAACAGTGAAAAAAGTTTGTTTTTTTAAATGCAAGCTATTGTGACACCAGATATAAGTGGTGACACTGACTGGGGAAATGGGCACAGTATCCACTGTGAGCCTGACACAGAAGCTGGCAGCAGTGGCAGACAACTAACTGCAATTACATTACACAGGAAAAAAAAAAAAAAGCATACCCTAACCCTAACCTAGCTATGCTTTTCCCTATCTAATCAAAAGCAGCTACACTTTCCCTCCTCTCACTAAGCATGCAGCTTGAGAATGAATGTAAAATGGATGCCCTCCAGTAGGTGGGAGGGTCTGCTAGGGAGGGTGTGCTGCTAATTGGCTGGAATGTGTCTGCTGACTGTGATGTACAAGGTCAAAGTTTACTCAATTATGACGAATAGGGGGCGGATCGAACCGCGCATGCGTTCGCCGTCCTCGGCGGACGCGAACACGCTATGTTCGCTGGCGAACCGTTCGGTACATCACTACTGGTCAACAGTTTATTATCTATACTTGGAAATATATACTACACTATGCATGCACAAGAGAAAAGAAGAAAAAGGTATATCACCCACACCATTGTTTTCAATAGATTCCTCCAGAGCTGCCTCAAAAGTTCTTAACTATGAAATATATGTCATAGAGTGCACTGTGTAGTGTCTTCTGTTCATAGTTAAGAACTTTTGAAGGAGACTATGGATGTAACCGCGGAGTGGTTGCATTTTTCTTTATTTCTCTTGCAAATGCATAGAGTACTATACATCCATATACTGCTTTATGGTGTTAATGGTGTTTGTATATTTGTCATTACCTTGTCTGTAGAATCTGAGTTGTATAGTGATAGGGGTATCTGTGTCAAATAATTTTTTTTAACAAATAGTTTATTTGTTTAAGATTTAGATGCTTACAACCTAGCCCGCTGCAAGCAAGGAAGGAGTCTAATTAAATGAGTCACCGAATATGGCGGACAGTGACAGATTCAAAAGCATGCTTTACATTTTTTCAGCCACAATATAATGACAAATTTATATATGCTTTAAGTTTCAAACTTCCTAAAAAATTAAGATCTGTATAGAAAAGTTAATGTGAAAGTATGTTTGATCATTATATTTATACATAAGCAGAGCCACCATCAGAAGTCTTGGGGCCACTTAAAAGAAATTGGAGCAGGCAACCCACCTAGATGCACACTCCATGCTATACACAAACATAAACTGTCATAAACGTATACTGTTCCAGAATAAACACAGATACACACTGCCAGACACACATACATAATGTACACAAGGTTAAACACACACTCTATTAGCTATATACTTACTGTCAAACACAGATGCACATACACACACTTACTGTCCCATGCAAAGTCAGACACACAGTCAGGCAAAAACAGGCATACACAGTCAGTTGCAGACACACACTATCAAACAGACACACAGTCTGACACAGACATAAAGTTAGGCAGAGACACATACAGAGTAAGTTGAAAACAATCAAACAGACACCCAGTTAGACACAGACACACAGTCAGACAAGCGCAGAATACCAGGTACATAGCCAGAATTGCACACATATTCACACACACTCAGATAAAGATACACAATCAGACATACATACACACACACACACACACACACACACACACACAGGTATTGTTAGATGCACTGTCAGACACAAACACATCTACAGACATATACACACACTGTAAGACAAATACACACCCAGAGACTAACAAACATACACACTCACTGTCAAACAGACACAGAGTAAAGCATGTAAACATACACAGAAATAGATGCACACATACTGTCAAACAAACACACAGTGAGACATAAACACACACAGTCAGGAATACACACACAGGTACAAACATTCAAACTCTCGGACACACACACATTCAGAAACATATACACATATTTTCGTCTTCTTCGCTCCACAGTAACCAGCCAAAAATGTCCCATGTGCCTATCCTCCACCCCTCCTCTCCATAGTCCCACCTCAATGCAGCATAATGTGACTGGGCTGGAACCTTATTAGATGATTTGCTGTGCTGCTCTCTGTTCACAGCAGGATGGCAGCACGGTATGAAAGACAGAGGGTGGCTAAATGATAAAATACCATATCCATGGCCCCTCCACACACTGCCCTCATCTGAGTGCTCAGATATATGTTAGAGTGCAATACATGGTAAGAGGGAGGAAGTGACATCTGCAAGGGAGCAATGAGGGAGCTATGCAGGTTCCAGCCTGATAAAGTGCCCACTTTAAAATCTCTGGGCAATGCATCTTTCTCCCTAACCAGAAAACTAAGAACTATATGTCCCCCTGCAGGCCATTGTACTGTAGGGGGCCCATTTCCAGGGTACTATATATTTGTTTATTGTTTTTTTAACGTAATAAGTCTCTTCTCCCATTTCTGATTATCTGTTGCCGTTTATTTCCTAATTTGTCCTTTTTCAAATGAATTTGCAGATGTCAGTATATCAGTTGGTTATTTCTGGGTTAACCTTAGTACAAATAGTCAGTCTATTCATAATGATTCAGAGAGATAGAGACAATTCATTCAATTTAATTGCTATTCTAATTGATCTTGAATTGCCAGAAATTCAAAGTGAATTTCAATTTTTTGGAGAGCATAATCAAACTAAACTAGCCAATTCTTCATAATTCACCCTTCAGTGAACAAGCCTGAGAGTTTTTGGTAGAGAGCATTTTGACATTCTTACTCACTAAATTACATTTGCAACTGAATTGTTGAAACCATTTATTGTTCTATAAATATATATTTCCATTCTAATGCCTATTATGTTCAATTCATTTTTCCACAGACATTTCAATAAGTTCTATCAGTATTACATTATTTTTAAACTTTCCCCCTTTTGTCTTCTTTCAAAAGCCACACATTACAAATACGTTTATAAAACATGCTTTGTTGACCTCTTGTTTAACATTTCATTGGTTAAAACTGTAAAAACGTAGGCAGTGTTGAAATTAGCAGAGTTTCTATGTGTAGAAGTCAGACGAGGGTACACATGTGAAACTAAGTAATTAAGAAGCCTTAGACAGTGTTTTTCTGAAGCAGGAACAGACTGATTTAATAAAACAAGAAACGAAAACATTGATACATCTCAAAGGCAAAATGGCTGCATATCAATAGAGAGAGAGAGAGAGAGAGAGAGAGAAGAAATGAGGCAAGGCAAGATAATAATACTCTTCCTCTCCAAATGTCATCAGCAATAATATGTCCTCCAACACTAATAGGCTGAACATGAAAGATTTGTCATACTTTCCACAGTAGCATGAAAACGTGATTAATTGCTAAACACAGAAAATGTGACTAGTCTTTAACCGCTTTTATTTAAAAAAAATAGCAAGCTGTTTTTTGTATATATTTTTATTGGGTTTTATCAAGTACATCAGGAACATACAATACACGGCCCACTGGCTGCGTGGGATTTTATGTGGCCTACCTGTAGGTTGTAACACGACCCACAGGCCAGCCACATAAAATCACACAGGCGGACCTTTGATCTCCTCTGCTGGACTGGCCTTGCTTTGTGCCTTCACAGGCTGAAGGGGGGTATCAAAGACCAAAGGACTTTGCTGTTGTGGTTTGGAGAGTGAGGGGAGAGGGTGAACTGGTGCGAGGTGGGCTCACGAGAGGACTGAACTCTGCTTGCAGCCAGAGGAGCTACAGGCTGGAGATACTGAATACCACCTGACCACCAAAGCTTGCAATGCCCCACCTCCCTGAGAAAAAGGTAAGAACTTAAAATAGGAATATAAACACCCTGCACCCCTCTCACACACCCTGCACACCTCTCACACACTCTGCACCTCTCACACACACCCTACATCCCTCTCACACACCCTGCATCCCTCTCACACATCCTGCATCCCCTTCACACATCCTGCATCCCCTTCACACATCCTGCACTTCTCTTACACACTGCACCTCTCACATACATGGAACCTCTCCCACACATGGATCCACTCACACTATGCACCACTCACACACACTGCATACCCTTTAGACACTAGATCCCAATTTTTACATGGGATGCCAGCACAGCCTTGGGCCATCATCTTCAAAATAACAATTCCTCTTTACTAAATAGATTTTATCTTGTATGGCTGCTACACCTATATAAGCAGACTTAATGACTACTAAGGTTTGACATAATAAGGTAGTATTAAAATAATTTACAACTTGGCAGGGGGCCCTTGGATACATTTTGTTTTTTAATGCGGTCCTCAGATAACCGAAGGTTGGACAGCCCTGAAGTACAGAACAAGAAAAGCGATGGTTAGTACATGTATATGCCAGTAGTGGACGTAGTAAAGGATAAAGGATCTAGAATACCCGCTCAGTTATTAGTTATCACACAAGTGAGAAACAACATGTAGGTATTGAGTTGCAAAGAAAAAATAGGGAAAAATAAGAAAAAAACAATAGACAGAATAATCTG